CTCTTTTCACATGCACGTACTGTGGTTAGTGCGGCTGTGAGAGCGAGCGTTATGGGTCCGTATCAGGCGCAGGCGGTTCTTGCGAGCGCGGAGCTGCAGGATAGGATTCGGGGGCTGGTGGATGAGGGGTGGGATAGGACGGTGGAGGATGCGGGGCAGAGTGTGCCGGTTATGGATCTTTGGGTTGGGAGACATGAGAAGTTGTATTCGAGGATTTTCAATTCGTGAGGTGTTGTCTGGTGAGCAGGTTGCAAAAGGTAGCGGACGGATACGGGTGCTACCTCACACTTTTGTGGCATGTATGTCTCACGTCTTGCTGTTGTAGCGGGTGCATTAAGCCTTGCATCCCAAAGTTACTAAATTTACGAAGTTGATGGTGTTCAGACAGACTTCCATTTCAGCCACTCGTTGTCCAATCATCACCTCGTGCATGCTCGATTCGCGCATGAAGAGCTCGGCTTACGGCGCGTGACTGCAGTGCCTCAAAGGCGCGGCAAGGCAACGACGATAAGAAAGGCATCTTGACAAGTTTGCTGTTTCACAAGAGCACAACTCGCTGGTTGATGATGCTCTTGGAGGGACTTTCATGCTTACTTGACTTCACTTTACATTCTCAGTGCTTGCACCATGTTCCTTCCAACACTCACCAGCTGGCTCTCAGCCACCATCTTCTCTAATCCCTCCAACAACGCACCCCAGTCCCCTCTTCTCGATCCTACCACTAGATTCCCATGGATCCAACGCTTCGCCTCAATCGGCGACTCCTACGCCGCGGGCCTAGGATCCGGCACGCGTCTCGACCGGTCATGCTCCCGGTACACTTCCTCCTACCCCAACATCCTGCAAACCACATTCCTCGGGCCCAACCCAAACCGCACACCCACCAATTTCTCGCCTGCTCCGGCTCTACCAGCACCGATGTCTTGGAAACCCAGATCCCAGCATTGGACGATAACCTCGACCTGCTCATCATCTCCGCTGGCGGAAACGACGTCGGCCTAACACCCATACTACGCAACTACATTCACCAATTCTGTCTGTCGGGCGAAGATGCCTGCCAGCAGGCTATTGATGAAGCCAGGGCGAGAATAGCAAATGAAACAGAACTTTATCACAACGTCACACTCCTCCTTCACGCCGCAAGACCGAAAATGAACTAACAACACGGTGTGATATACTACACAGGCTACGCATCTTTCTTCGGCAACGAAGATAAAATATGCGACAACATTACCTGGGCCGTCTGGAAAGACGTCGAATGGACAAAATAATACCTCACGCGCGCCCTACGCTAGGAGCTAAACGACATAGTCTGCGCCGTTGACGCTATTTTGTTCAAAGCCGTTAGTGACTCCAGTCCAAACGTCCAGTTTGTAGATTACAACGCGGAAGTAACCAAGGCACGGGGTCGATACTGTGAACCCCGTGTCCTAGAACCAGCTCCTAATCGCGCCGGCCTCGTGTTCTACCAGTGGAACACTGTTGATAGCGGGGAGAATAGGACGGCGTTGCTGAATGGGACGGGCGGTGGTGTGCCGAAGGGGTTCGTTTGAGAGTGGGATTGCGGGGGATGTTGGTAGGACGGTGGGGGAACATCCTGGGTGGGGGTTGATCCTAAGAAGGGGTTTTTGGTCAGAAGAGGAAGGGGGGTAAGAAGGGAGTAGAGGGAGAAGGGTGGTTGGGTGATGGGATTCATTGGTTGTTGCCGGATAGTTATAAGAGAGTTTTTCATTTGAGGCTGGGGGGACATAGGATAGTAGCGAAGCTGCTCGTTGAGGATTTGGAGAGAGGGGAGGGGGATGGGTGGGGAGGTGGAGGAACTTTAGGTTTGTTCTAATTCTTGGACGACAGTGCTGGCATCTGTGTCTTCTCCCTCAGCTTCTCCTCCCTCAACTTCACCCCCGCCATCCTCATTCCCATCCCCATCCAACCCACCATCCCAATCCCAATCCACCCCCACCCCCTCCACCCTCCCCCCTCCTATCCATCTCCCCAATCCTCCCCCTAACATCCCCCAAACACACCCCCAACAAATTCTCCCCCCACCACTCCCTATACCCCTCCGCCTCAAACGCCCTATACCCAATCCCCCACACCCTATCCCTCCTCCCCGCCTCCACAAGTTCCCTCTCCCCCGTCCCCACCAACACACTCCTCATATGCCTACCCCCATTGCCCGCTCCTTTCCCAGCATGTTCATTCCCCCCCGTGAATTTATACCAGTTCCCCACGCGCGCAACCCGGCTTTTTACGGCGGTCCAAGCCGAGAAGGAGAAGTTGGTGATGCGCTGACCGTGTTTCTTCTGCGTTTTTGGGTCTGGAGCAGAGAGGATGGAGGTGCAGGTGCGGGAGTCGGAGAAGAAGAGGGATTTGCAGTACATGTAGGATTGTTCGGCGCAGGTGAAGGGGAGGAAGGGGGTTGGGTTGGAGGGGGAGGTGGTGGCGTGGGTTGATAGGATTGAGGATGCTGAGATGGTTGTTGTGGATGGGGTGGAAGGGGGTGGTGGTGGTGCAAGGTCGACAAGCCATTGGAGGGATGCGATGGGGATGCTGAAGGGGCTTGGGTGCCATTGGCAGAATATGCCGTAGGGTTTTTCGTTTGGCATGTAGAAGAATATCGTTCCTTTCTCTGTATCTTCTTCGGTGGGTGCGGGTTTCTTTGGCGGACGGCCGGCGGGGTGCGGTTTGCGCTTCCCCATTGCGTAGTATGAGGATGGATTTGAGTTGTGAGATTTTGTAAGACGCGGGAATACTGCCTGAAGAAAAGAAAATCTACTTCGGAAAGACGACCTCGGGAGTCTGGTGTGTTTGGGTCTCGTCGAGTGCTTGGTGATGAGTCGTAAGCTAGTACTGTAGTACCATGGTTTGGAAAGGGCGTAAGGGCAACATTCCCATTCTATAATGCTCTAGTAAACTTCTCCAATACACATGCTACGACTGTTCACTGTGTAACCTTTTCAACGTCTTATAGTGCCGAACAAATCAGGTCACTACCTTCGCACGTATGTACATCTCTTAGTGTGTGTACTGGGAGAGTTTGCACGGTGATTGAAGTTATTCTGGTCGTAAGTGTAGAGAGTCGAAGTCGTAATGAGGCGTTCGAGTGCGTGAGTAGTGTTCCTTTGGGTCACTTCTGGTATAGATGTTTTCTCTTCGTCTGTTCTTGTCTCTGTCAGTCGTGCCGAATTTTTGTCTAGTTCCACGTGCTTCAATCGGGGTCTCTGCGACAGTAACCTAAAGTGAGAGTTGATCCTGCCCAGTGAGTGGAGCTCATGGCCTGGGCATCTCGTGTCAACGAATAAAAGTAAACGTGATAGTAAGTCCATCGGGATGTTACCTCAGCCAATACCCGTCCTCGTTTTCGCAATTTTCCTGGAAACCATGGTAGAGAGATAATTGAAGCCAAGGTAGACAACGAACATCTAATCCAGCACATATAAGAGTTGACCTTCAGCTCTTACCATCTTACGCCTCAACATCCCTAAGTTTGTTACGTACAGCTACGCCCACCGAGATGTCCGAACCCTCTTTCCGATTCCTGGACCTTCCACCAGAGTTGCGATGCATGGTCTACGAGCAGCTCGAAACGACAACGAAGCATTACACACTCGACGACATACCGGACCAAGCTTCCACAATCACACTCGTCTGCAAAAAGCTACCCGTCCAGATACTGGCAACATCCAAGTTGATCAATACCGAAGCCATGAGAATCTTCTGTCCTAGCATGCTGCAACTGAAGGCGCAACCGATGCGCTTCTTCATCACAGCGAAAGTTAGTAAATCTCTATTCGTCTTGCGTCGTTCGCTCTCGCGCTGTTTCGGACACAATTCTCAGCCCTATGACTCCCCAGCATTGAGCGAGGCAGCTAAAGCTTTCGTCGACCGCTGTGTTAAAACCTGTCGCCTAACGAGTAGCTGCCGCCATGTTGAGATAATGGTGACCGACAAAGACGCGCCAAGTCTCCCACAACTCGCACGCTTGTTATGTTACAGCAACATGTTCGCAAGGCGAAACCACTTGAAAATTACTCTCCTACGCAAGGAGCTAGCAACCGAAACACATCATACAATTTGGCATGCATCGCAGGATCTTGGGCGTTTGTTGAGGGTGAACGAGAGGGTGCATCTGCATCTCGCAGATAAGCCAGATGCCGAGCGATGGAGGAGGGATTGGGAAGAGACGACAAGTGTGCCGGAGGCATGAAGAGTACAGAAGTGTGTGTTTGACCGAGGCTGGACGTCATCAAGATCTCGGCCGAATATGAATAGGAATTCGAGGGGATCTTGGAAGCCTTCTTCGTCGTTGCAGTCAAGGAAATAACAGGGAGCATAGCCGGTACGCTGGGATGCCGAAGTCTTGCTGGGAACGTCAGTCGTACGTGAACATACGCACAGGACGTTTGGAGCGATGAATGTAGTACATCTGATTGTATGGCATCAATAGTGGAATAATGCGACGCTGAGAGAACCCCCAGGTTGCGATAGAGTGTGATGCAGCGTTCTTGGGGTTGGGCGGAAGTCATCCGACAAGCTCGTATTCAAGACGTGCATGCTCGTATGCGGTGCGATGTTGTTGCAGCTACGTTGTGGTTACGTGCAGCAATCCTGCAGGGACTCATTGTCTTTCCGAGCTCAAATGACGCCGTCGCGTGTCCACTCCTGCCCTCGATCTTGCAACACCATCTATTGATTTCTTCTTCCCCAGTCGTTCGCCATGACCTTGGTATGCTGTCTAGAGGCAGCAGGGCCGATTTGGAGCTGTCGCCTGACTTACCTCGCATGTGGTTTAGGTTTGACAGGTCGCGCTCCCCCTCAACCGAGGTCACGCGCATCGATCATGATGCTAGTCAGGCACACCGTCCGAGCTTCCTTTCCCCGGACGTGCTTAAGATGAATGACGCCGTCCGTGTCTGACCGCGCCGGGCAATGCCACGACATCCCTCGAGGGCATACACGAGAGGAATTACCTGATCTCGTCTTGTTTCACTACTCAAGCTATGACGAAAGCTCGCTACGACTTCAAGACGCGCCCGGTCGCGCACCCGGACGCTATTGTCGCAGGCGACAAGTACCGCTTCACCATCCTCACAGATGGCTTGCTCCGCTTTGAGTGGGCCGAGGATGGACGATTCGAAGACCGCGCGAGCACCTTTGCCATCAACCGCAAGCTAGCTGTGCCCGATTTCTATGTCTGGGACCGCGGCCATGGCATCGAGATCGTAACGAAGCGCTTCCACGTTGTGTACGACAAGAAGAAGTTTAGCGCCGATGGCTTCAAGATCCACCTCAAGGGCGACGTGACGGGCACATGGACATACGGACAACAAGTCTCCAACTTGGGCGGAACAACCCGTACACTAGACGGTGTGAACGGCAGGGCCAACCTAGGTCCTGGTGTGCTGTCGAGAGAGGGCATGGCTCCTTTGGATGACACCAAGTCCATGCTCTTCGAAGACAATGGGTGGATTGCTGGACGCAGGGGTGGTGACAGGACCGATCAGTACATCTTCATGTATGGTCGCGACTACCGGGAAGCCATGCGCGCATACTACGCTGTCTCCGGAAGCCAGCCTCTCCTTCCACGATACGCCATGGGCAACTGGTGGAGTCGATACCACGCATACGACGAGAAGGAATATCTCGATTTGCACGATCATTTCGACCGCGACGATGTACCCATGAACGTGGCGGTTGTGGACATGGACTGGCATCTGGTATGGGATCTGCCTGGCGGTGTCAATGGCTGGACCGGATACACATGGAACAAGAAACTGTTCCCCGACCCAGACGCTTTCATGAAGAAGCTGCATGATCGTGGCATGAGGCTGACGCTTAACCTGCATCCAGCGGACGGGTTCAGGCCTCACGAAGAGCAGTACCCTGAAGTCGCCAAATACCTTGGTATCGACCCGCAGTCTAAACAGACGATTCCTTTCGACTGCACAGATAAGAAGTTTATGGACGCATACTTCGACATCGTACACCACGAGCACGAAGAGCGAGGCGTAGACTTCTGGTGGGTGGACTGGCAGCAGGGCAACACATCCAAGATCCCTGGGGTAGACCCGCTCTGGGTGCTCAACCACTTCCATTTCCTCGACAATGGCCGTGGGTCCCAGCGTCCCTTGATCCTCTCTCGATTCGGCGGCCCAGGAGCACAGCGCTACCAGATCGGCTTTTCTGGCGATGCTATCATCACCTGGGACAGCCTGCACTTCCAGCCTGAGTTCACAGCTACTGCATCGAACATCGGGTACGGCTGGTGGAGCAACGACATTGGTGGTCACACGCATGGCTACAAGAACGACGAGCTCTACACACGTTGGGTACAACTTGGCTGCTGGTCGCCCATTCTGCGTCTTCATTCAGACAACAACCCTTTCAACACGCGCGAGCCCTGGCGGTTCAACGAAGAGGCGTGCACGATCGTTGAAGATACATTGCGTTTCCGCCACCGTCTCATCCCATACTTGTACACCATGAACGCGAGAAGTGCCTCCGATGACGAGCCGCTCATTCAGCCCATGTACTGGGACTACCCAGAGTCTGACGAAGCATACAACGTGCCCAACCAGTTCCGCTTTGGCTCAGAAATAATCGTGGCACCTATCACCCAGCCCCGCGACGGGACTACACATCTCGGCGCAGAGAAGCTCTGGCTCCCAGAAGGCCGCTACGTCGACATCTTCACCGGCATCGTATACAACCGCGCCGGCGAGCTCACCGTCCACCGCCCTCTAAACTTCGTCCCTGTCTTCGCAAAAGAAGGATCCATAATCCCGCTCGACGCAGCCTACCGTCCCAAATCCGGTTCTCCAAACCCAGAGGGTCTTGAGATCTTGCTTGCCGTAGGCGCAGACGGCTCCTTCACACTGATCGAAGACGACGGCACCGGCCACCTCGTCGACGACGGCGGTTTCTCAATCATCTCAGACGAGGGCCACGAGGAATCCGCCGATGACACCGTGCGCTTCGCACACACACCCATCACGTACAAGCAATCGACCGGCGTCATCAAGATCGGTCCTACAACGCCTGAAAACCCCGCCATCCCCAAGAACCGGTCTTGGAAGATCCGCCTCCTGGCTCATACGCTCAAGAAGGGCGCTGAAATACGCTGCGTCACTACCTCTCCCAGCACAAAGAAACATGCAAAGACGCTCTCACACAAGATCACCCAGGAAAGCAACGGTACGCTTATCACGCTCGACGCGGTGCCAACTTCGCATACCATCCACATCGAATTGCTCTCTTCTTCATCTCATTCTTCGGGCTCTTCCTCGTCGGGGCCGCAACTCGATGTTATCGACCCGAACCCCAAGCTTTGGGATATCATCGATAAAGCATGGATCGAACTGGATAAGAAGTGGGATTACTGGAACTGCGTCAACAATGGGGAGCCAGTGTTGAATAAAGTGAGGGCGCTGCAGGGGAGGGGTATGAATCAGGCGTTGTTGGATGCGATGTTGGAGTTGTTGCTTGCGGATGAGCGGTATGCTGGCGAAGAGAAGGATGGGTGGTGAGATGGTAGATGGGTAGTATAGTTTAGCGTGCATAGTCGTTCGTCTACTCTGTGCAGCTAATGTAGTTAAAGTTTCGCCCCGCAACAGAAACAGAGTCGTTGAGGGGCGCAACTTCAACTACACTAGCTGCACAGAGTAGGCGAACGACGTAAATGCGCCTGTTACGCGGAATATGTTTCTATACACATATCTATACATAGCCTTCACGATCCATGACTCTTCCATGTAATCCCACCCGCCATCATCCAAACCGCACCCAGCTTCTTACGGCCTCATCTCAACCTTCCCCTTATGCCCCTTCATCGCCTCCTTAAACCCATCCCTCTGCAGAATCTCCGCCACCTTATCCATAACCTTGCCCTCCCTCCTCCTACTATAATCACCCTCCTTCATCTCATACCCAGCCCTCGTCGCATCCTCCAAGCTCTCATATTCCCAAATATTCGCCTTCATACCCACACCATGGTACTGATGTTTCTGCAAGAACGCCAACCAAGCCTTCACCACATCCGGGTGTCCGTCTTGGATCTGGATCAGCCGCCGCATGGTGATGCGCTCAAAGTTCTCCTGCGACTTTTTGAAAATGAAGTTGGAGCGTGGGACTGTCCAGCGTTCGGTTATGCGGGGGAGGGGGATGGGGCCCCGGGCGCAGAGACCCATGTAGTAGGCTGCGCGGACGGCGAAGTCGGCGAAGAGGAGGAGGTTGCGGATGTTGTAGGTGCGTAGTTGGAGGTCGCAGGTGGGCACGCCGTGTTCGGGCGTGCGGCGCAGGGGCCGCATGTGTACGGCTCGGACATTGATGGGGGTGCGGAGGGCTTCGAGGGCTTCGGCGGTTTTGGCGTCGAGGGGGGGTTGGTCGGTGGGGAGGGTGATGTTGTGTTCCCTGGTGTTGTTGTTAGAGGACTGCGGGTTGGGATTGAAAGTCCGAAGGGGAGGCTTACTTTGCCAGTTTGATGGGTTCCAGACCAGCGCGTTTGTACACCTTGAGGAGACCCAAGTGGTCAGGTGTGTTTTGTAGTTCTTTCCACCTTTGCGCTGCCTCTTCGCGTGTCTTGGGCTCCCATTCTTCTTGACGTTGGTTGACTTTCTGTTGACTTGCGTATAGACTAATGTGTTGTCAGCAACTTCTTCTTCCTTTGTTCCTTTATATTCGGCATATCGTACGTCTTGTATTCCTCCCGACTGATACCAAGATCCTCCAACCGCTGGTCGAGTGGCATGGTACTGTTCTCCAGCTCCAGCTTCAATCGACCCATAAGCTTGGCATCTCTGTCTTCTCTCGAGTCCCTCTCATTGCTCTCCTCTGATCTTGAGCTCTTTGCCCGCGAGAGAGTCTGTGTGTGTGGTCGGGGGGCGTGGGTGATCTGTACTGCGCATTAGCAATTGATAGACTCCCATAAGCAGTTCAATTGGAGTAGAAACACCTTTACCCTCTTCGCCGGCCCCAAAAAGGAGCGCATACATCGTGGCGCTGCCATGCTTGATATCATCGCACTCGCCCACGTCCAACATCGAACTTCTTCCAGAGAGCCGATGGCGCTAGTCGCGATTGCAGCTAGAGTCTTGGCGGCATCGGAATTGGCCGCGCCTTCCCTCTGCACCCTAGTCGTACCGTCTCAAATTGTCACATGTACAAGATAACTTGCTCCTCTTGATACAAGATCATACCTCTGCGATTTCTCGTTTTTCAACTGTTTCTGAAGAAGCACCTAACAATCAAAATGGAAACAGTTTCAGATATGGCTGCGGCACCGAACGCCTATGCCCGCGCTATGCAAACGGCCATGTACGTGCGCCAACAGCTGCCAGAGGCTCTGCAGTATCCCAAGGTAGCCATTGTGTGCGGCTCTGGACTGGGTGGACTGGCCGACACAATCGAGGCGGAACCGAAAGTCGAACTGGCTTACGGCACGATTCCTAACTTTCCCAAGAGTACTGGTAAGTGCAGATTTGGAAACATCATTTCGCTGCAGAGTTGATCTTGCGGATTGCACAGGAAGCGGGGTACTGACACCTTTGTCTAGTTGTGGGACATGCTGGAAAGTTTGTGTTCGGTCAGATTGGACCTCAGAAGACGCCTGTAGCGCTTCTCGTTGGACGGGCCCAGTGAGTCACTCAAAGATGAGAGGCTTTGGCGCAAGAATGATGATATTAATGGATACAGTTTCTATGAAGGGCACTCGATGGACCTTGTCACATTCGCTACTCGAGTGTGCAAATTGCTCGGTGTCGAGACTATGATCGGTATGTCAAGAGAGCAGATGATCAAAGTCAACTGGCTAACCGTGGATGAAGTCACAAACGCAGCCGGTGGTCTCAACCAGACTTACCGCGTAGGAGACATCGTATGCTTGAACGACGTAGGTCAACCCTTCTGAAGATGTCGAGCTCAATCTAACTCTGCTTAGCATCTCAATATGGCTGGACTGGTGGGCATACATCCTCTCCGTGGACCTAATATCGAGGAGTTCGGCACGCGGTTCCCACCTCTGTCAGATGCGTACGACCTTGACCTGAGGGTGCGGACGCACAAGGCCTGGGCAAAACTAGGACTGGATAAACAGGAACGACGGCTACACGAGGGTGTATACGCGTTTGTGGCAGGACCAACGTATGTGATTCAAGTCCTTTTCCTCCCCCTCTACTTCGCTATGGCATTAAACAAATGCTGACTGTGTGCAAGTTATGAGACTCGTGCCGAATGCCGAATGCTCAGCACGCTAGGAGCTGATGTGGTGGGTATGTCCACTGTGCCGGAGATCATCGTCGCCAGACATGCTGGAATGCGTATTCTTGCATTCAGTCTAGTCACAAACGTGGCTGTGCTCGAGGCAGGCGCCCGTGGCAACGATGCGGAGATCCAGACCATGAACAGGGCGGAATTGACTGAGCATTTGAGCCAAGGTAAGGCAAACCACGAGGAGGTACTGGAGGCCGGACGGGAGGCAGCCAAGGACATGCAAGCCCTGGTCAAGCAGATCTTGTCCGATCTTCACGGCCAATGATCAAGGGCTGTGATTACGGCGGGCCAATATGGTAACCGCCAGTGTGCCCTTTCAGATGTGCATCGCAAGCAGGCATACTTTCACAAGGGCGAGGCCTGGATCCAGAATAGAATATACCATCCACACGGTCCAGAACAAACATAGTCCCGGTGTAGTCGTCCTGGCATGTGGCCAGAAGCGACCAAGCAAGTCTCAAGGCTTGACGACCTTGCCCTTGTTTCGCTTCGCCTTCATCGCCTTGTAGTGCGCCTTCTTCCCGCTCTGCTTCGATGTCTGGATATCCTCGTACTTGCGCTTGAAACGGCCGCTGTCCTGTTCCTGGGCGACAATCTCCTCCAGCATGGTCTGCTTGCGCTCCTTGTTCTTCAAACGGCTGCTGTAGAACTCAGTAGCGCCTTCGATGATGGTGCCTACTTGGGAGAATGCGGGGACATCGCCCTTTTTGTTGTCCTTCTTGTAGTGGCGGTGGGGGTCAAGGACGTTCCTCATCTTGAGTAGCTGAAGATCTCGGCGCAGCTCTGGGGTAAGGTCGGTCTTGGGCATGTTGAACCACTGTGCGCCAGCGGTAGCTTTCTTCTCCTGTGGCAAGCTGTTAGCATCGTGACTGACAACTTCAAAAGTAAAACTTGAGTGTGGTAATGCCTCAGTGTAACTATGAACTAATGGAGCCTCAGTGGTGCAGGAAGGCAACCAAGACGGCGCCCGAGTCTGCTCAGCTAAAAGTTTGGGATAATTTTCATCACGGGCATGCGGATGCGAATAGTGTGGCTTGAACGTACCTCTTGCTTCTGCTTCCTGATTTGAAGCGGATCCTCAATCTTCTTGATGCCGTTAGCCAAAGCCTGCTGCTTTTTGTCGACGAGCTTCGAGTGATCTAGGCGCGTGATGTTGCCGTCAGTCTTTTCGTAAGTATCGGCAATATGGCCGGGCTGCAGCTTCGGTAGCCTGAATGGAGCATCCGACTTGTTCGCGGGCTGCGCTGTGGCTGCCTTTGCGCGCATACGGACTGCAGCTTCATTAAGCAGCTCCCGTATCTGCTCATCCGAGAGTTCCTCATCGGTGTCCTCAGCGAGGAGCGGCTGGTGCGTTGGCAACTCCATGTTGGCGTTGTCCGGGAAGAAAGTGTTGGAAAATTTGAGGAACTTTTTGAGAAGCTCCGGCGCGCTAGCCAGTTCGGCCCGTGCGGCAGCGCTAACCGTTCTGGTCGCGATGCGCTCGCGGCGACATTACGTTCGCAGTCTCTCATACCATTTCCAATCCAAGGCAGCTGGATTGACAGTGATCCACCTCTGCTGCTACGCTAGGATTGCCCTGCTCCAAGGCTTCCTTCGTGTCTCTCGTGCACTCGAAATCAGTCCCGATGGTTGGGATCCGCCACGTCAAGCACGCTGATGGAGCTCCAGAGTCAGCTTCACTCCTGGGCCGTCGCCTTTGTCATATTGTCTTATGACGCGTGCTCGCATATTCTGGCGCGCTCGAGAGAATCGGACGGTGAACAACTCATCACTGGCATAGCCCTGGTGTCTACGGGGCCAATGAGAAGGCGTCATCCTGACCAATAGCGCTCACATCCCGCATGCTACTCCAGCTGGGGCGGGATCAAGTTCGTCTCTCTAGCGTGGTGCCTCGATGTGAAGTGTGCTGCCATGGGCCACAACCGGTTCGAGTCTTGCGCCGGATGGAGATTGAATTGTGATAGAGGCGGCAGGAACATTGCGTCGCTACTGTGCTGTCACCTTGTCGGGCCTTGTATAGAGATGTGGTGCGACGTGCATATCGCGCATATAAGCATGGCTGAAGCGACGATCGCAGCTTCTTCTTCTGAAGAGACTCGAGTATGACTACGTCAGAACATTGAGCGAATCCTGCATCCGCCTATACTGCAGCCCGTCTTCGCCCACAGTTCTACATAATTGTCCGCGTCGTGAGTAACGTTGGGGCCCTTGCTTAGCTGTGGTTCGTTGACTCGTTAGAAACCCACCAACCAAGCATCAAACTCCGCGAATATATTCTCGTACTGGCATTTGATTCGTCGAACCAGAGCATAGGTCAGTTGCGCATTTGATACAACCTCACGAGCGTTGGTGCGATTGAGAAATAGAGTAATGCTCATCTACCATGGCAGGCCGCACACAGCAACGCCGCGGGAGCCTAAAGACAGGTACCTGCGCCTTCCCCGCCCACCTCTCCCGACCACTCAGACCGCATCTTCGACGGAATCACGACCTCGCCCTCCTCTCACAACACGCCCACCGCGAGACCCCGAGCAGCCATTGGACGTTGCGCGTCCCTTTCTGCACCGTCCCGCGACCGAGGAACAAGTATTGCCATCCAGACACGCCGCGGACTGACGCAGACCCTGTCCACCGCGTAACACTTGCGCAACCACGCCCAAGCCATGGACCAAGTCAACCTCCAGGGCCACGGCCAGCAGAAGATGCGCCAGCAGCCCCAGCAGGCTGCGCCGCGCAAGTACGATGGCCAGCAGGGCAACCCCCTCTATGATCCCACCAACGGTGGCCACTATGGTACGTCTTCCCGCCCCAGCTGCATGCCACGCGACGCGGCGCTGGCTGTCGCATTCACCATGACATCCTGTGCTAACACCATATCGCAGGCGCATCCGCAGCAGTACGTTATATCGGCGCATCCGCGCCTATGCCAACTTCCAGCCGCTGATATTTGGTCCAGATTGCCGCACAGAACCACGCGCCCGATCCACAGCTGTTCACCGGTTCGTGGCAGAACGTACGCGCTCGCATCTGTCATAGCCACGATCGCACAAACTAACGCCTACAGGTCAACCAAGGACTCACCGGCAACTACCGCGACATCCTCAACACATACTGGCAGCAGCAGGTCACGAAGCTCGAGACCGACGAACATGACTACAAGCTGCACCAGCTCCCGCTCGCCCGCATCAAGAAGGTCATGAAGGCCGACCCAGAGGTCAAGATGATCTCAGCCGAAGCTCCCATCCTTTTCGCCAAGGGTTGCGACATCTTCATCACCGAGCTTACAATGCGCGCCTGGATCCACGCCGAGGAGAACAAGCGTCGCACTCTGCAGCGCTCCGACATCGCCTCGGCTTTGTCAAAGTCAGACATGTTCGACTTCCTCATCGACATCGTGCCCCGCGAGGAGGCTCATCCCCACAAGAGAAGTGCCGGCCAGAACGCAGCTGTACAGTCATCAGCAGCTGTGGTCCCTCCCGGGGCTATGCCTCAGCCAGTACATGCTCAACATTCCATGCCACCTCCCGACTATGGCCTGCAGGAGCATCTGGGACAGCAGCAGGAGTACCAGCAACCGCCCATGTACCCGGGTCCGATGCAAGGCGACCCCCGCGCCTATGCACAGCAGCCGATGTTCGACCCTAGCGTCTACACCCAATACCAGGTGGGCGGTCAGCAGCCGCAAATGTACGCAGTTGGTCAGCGTGGGCCTGACCCGAATTCCGCCGATCCTCAGGGTTACGGTCGCTATGAGGCTGATCCCGACGATGCCGAAGGCGAGAGGGTCGACGCTGAGAGTTAGAAACGATCATATACCGGCCAGATGCTCGAGCTTTAGCGATTGTTGACCCCACGTCGTCCTATGTCCTGGAGCCTACGTCGACGTTAGCTCACCCACTCTGCATGTTATCATGTTGATGTAGTCTCCAGACCTGTCGGGGTTTTTTCTTGTATAGGATGGCTCTATCAAGGCACAGGGGAGGTGATGGAGGCAGGCAATGAGTATGATCCCAGAATTTACGAGGCGTTGAGGGAGTTTGTGGCTTTCTTAGGTACGGCCGCGGATGCGGATCGGTTAGCTTGTGGCAGCCTTATGAGCAGATATCCATTGATAGAGTAACAGCTTGCACCACCACAATGTTTGCCCATCAACAGTGCAGTGAGTTGTGCTTGGGCCGCTTGAGCGCGGAGATGGAAACGACGTTGGCAGCATCCCGATCCGCTCCGGCAACTAAACTGGCTGAACATGACGAAGATCAGTCAGGGTCCAAGGTCCACATCGCATCAATTCCTGGAGATCTTCACAGAAAGAGGTGGTACCGAGACAATCCAGGGGTCTAGGAAGCCTATTGGGTGGACTTCTGTCGACGATCAGACAGCCTTGCCAATTATCCCTCATCACTGACAAGAGTGCCTTAGACACTTCGTCAGCGGCCGAAGTACTAGTTACCGTACGCGGGCTAAGAAACATCTTCTCCAGTCTATGGATCCGTACCTGCGTCACAACTAGTGGGCATCCGACCTGCTCCGACTGCTCATGGCACCGAGGCTCGCTGTACATGCTTGGCTAACACAGCGAGAGCATGAGAATGCATCTTTTCTCTAAAGCCCAATATACAAGCCATCCACTTGGTATATGGAACAGCGTGGAGTCCACTACCAAGACTCTCAACAAGCACTCACGAAACTAACATTGTTACAAAGCTAGCCAGACTGTGCTGGGGGCATTAGACGGCCATTAGCTTGAAGCGTTTCCCAGACATACTCCCGCCGGTACCCCGCCAGGTCCGTGCTCCACCCCACCTTCCTGGATCCAACAGAACGGGCGCGTGGGCAGCTCCTACCCTACTTTACTTCAAGCCACCTCCTCCTGCCTTCTTTTCTCTCACCGACTCTTCAACTCCTCTCTCAATCTCTGTTCTCAGCTACCACTTTTCAACGCGTCTCCCTTTTACAAACTCACATCACAATGGTCAAAGCCGTAGTAGCCGGAGCCGCAGGAGGCATTGGACAGGTACGAGCTCGAGAGTACCCCAGGGACTTTCCCTCTACGTTGCATCCGGAACTGACTGACATGACCTCGACAGCCCCTCTCTCTGCTCCTCAAGTCCTGCCAACACGTCACTGAGCTCGCCCTCTACGATGTCGTCAACACACCAGGTGTCGCTGCCGATCTGTCGCACATCTCGACCCCAGCAGTATGAGCTAACCCTAGCCCCGCATATGCATGGAGATACTGAAGGTGGACAGGCTGTCACAGGTTTCCTGCCAAAGGAGGACGGTATGCAAAAGGCCCTCACCGGCGCTGATGTCGTTGTCATCCCTGCTGGAATTCCCCGTAAGTTGAACTCATACTGTTGTTGTGCTACCACAACCTAACAAATGCTCAGGCAAGCCGGGTATGACCCGTGATGATCTCTTCAAGATCAACGCCGGTATCGTTCAGGGCCTCATCGAGGGTGTTGCCAAGTACTGCCCCAAGGCGTTCGTACTTGTCATCTCCAACCCCGTCAACTCGACCGTTCCCATCGCCGCCGAGGTCCTCAAGAAGGCAGGCGTCTTCGACCCCAAGAGGCTCTTCGGTGTCACCACCCTTGATGTCGTCCGCGCTGAGACCTTTGTCGCTGAGATCACCGGCGAGAAGAACCCCGGCAACCTGAACATCCCCGTCATTGGCGGTCACTCCGGCGAGACCATCGTACCTCTATTCAGCCAGTCAAAGCCGAGCGTAAACATCCCGGCTGACAAGATGGAGGCTCTTGTCAAGCGCGTCCAATTCGGTGGCGACGAGGTTGTTCAGGCAAAGGAGGGCGCGGGATCCGCTACTCTTTCCATGGCCTACGCCGGATACCGGTATGTTGCATACTCTCTACCAAAGTGCACTAGCTAACTGTGAATAGCTTCGCCGAGAAGGTCATCAAGGCCTCCAAGGGCGAGAAGGGCATCGTAGAGCCCAGCTACGTCTACCTCCCTGGTGTTGAGGGCGGAGATGCCATCTCCAAGGCCACTGGTCTTGAGTTCTTCTCCGTGCCTATCGAGCTTGGTGTCAACGGTGCCGAGAAGGCCATCGACGTTGTCAGCAGCGCCAATGACCAAGAGAAGAAGCTTCTCCAGGCCTGCTACGATGGCCTGAAGGGCAACATCAGCAAGGGTGTCGAATTCGTCGCGAACCCTCCCGCTAAGTGAGCGTACCCGGATGTCGGTACAGCTCCTACACAAACTCACATGCGCCTGTCTGTAGATAGACTATGAGCCGCCATGATGAGTATGAGAGATGATACTACGAGGACGTGCCTTGGGATATGCATGAATCTATGCTGATCTGAGCTGAAATATCAATGTTCGCACGACACAATACCATGACCCATTCCAAGTGACCTGCGTTGTTGCCATCATTACTTTCGTATGCATTAAGTTGCATCGGAATATGTGTCGTGTCTATATATCCCCGACATAACAGTATTTCAGCTGCCGAATTGATATAGATCTGGCCCGGGACCAGCTGTAGTGTTGTTCAGAAGTCACAGCGCATGCTGAGCTAAAACATCGTGGACCCTTGCAGAAGAATGATCGGCCGCGGCTCCAGCAGCCCACATCTGGACTCGAACATCAACACCACCACCAACACGCCGCAATGAACACCACACTACACCGACACCTACCACTGTAAATACCCGACCCTGTACTGAGCAGCAGACGACGACAAGATTCAAGCTACCATAGACGCAAACACCCGCCGGCACACCCTCACACCACATCGGAGCGCGCATCTTTGTCGCGCACAACCTCACAACCACTACCATCGCCTGTAGCACGGCTGAGGACGCAGATACCCTAAACATTTGCCCAATATGGCGCAAGCCAACCCCTCCGCACCGAACGAACCCACCACATCCTACGTCGACCCCACATTCTCGTTAGTGAACACATCATGTCTTGATCTCCTGCTCATAGAGCTCGTACCCATGGCATATCGCATCACAGCCGATCTTGCCGCCCGGGAAGAGGAGTGGATACACGGATCATCAGCCACAAAGCCAAAGCGACTGTCGGGCGCAAGCAATGACGCGTCAAGTACAGCGGCGGGCACAGCAAGAGGGACAGAAGGCGGGCCAGTAGGCGGAGGAGGCACTGCGACGGTCGACGAGGAAGAAGCGCGAGAGGCCGTATTCCATCGATTAGAGAATCTCGGGTATAGAGTTGGACTGGGCGTTGTCGAACGGTACGTCTACTCTCGACGCATGGTAGAACCCCAAAGACCATGGCTAACATTTGACACAGATTCTCCCGAGACGCGCCCCGACCCACCACACCTCTGGATTGCATAAAGTTCCTATGCAAAGACCTATGGACACTCCTCTTCAGAAAGCAGATCGACAACCTCAAAACTAACCACCGCGGCATCTACGTCCTTACAGACAACACATTCAAACCTCTCGGCCGCATGTCATTCGATACAAAGAAATACGACGCCGCTATGCAAGCCGCGCTGGTAGCACAAACAGGCGATGTAGCGCTCGGTCGGGACGCAAATAGCCAGGCCAGGGTTCAGCCGTTTCTATACTTCCCAGCCGGTCTGATAAGAGGATGTCTTGCAAGTTTGGGCATACAAGCGACCGTCACAGCGGAAAGTGCTGCACTGCCTGGAGCTACGTTCCAGATCCGGACTGCTGGGGCGAAGACGTGAAGGGAAGAAGATGGTACATAACTCGAATGTTAGCGGCATTGTGCGGCGTTTCTGGAATGAAAAGACGGCGGTCGTCGCATATACACAAAGGATTGGCATATCTTCATTCGGAGAGCAAAGGCGCATATTGCGTCAGCAAATCTTTACCCACTGTGCGCGAAGGACACCGGTCTACTGATCGTAGTAGTACGGACAACGGAACTAGGTCGCGTCGTTCCTTACAGTACCCAGACAACTGGTTCACTATATCACCGGCTGCCTCTTCCCAACAACCTGGGGTCTGAAGGTTTAATAAGACGGCTCGATAGTAAGATAGTAAGCTCCCACTGGGTTCGTCAAAGCTCCCCAGATTTGTTCTCAGACACGATTACTTCTCTGTATCAACGAGCCCATTTAACTTTACCAACCATGACACCCTGCGATCTCCAATTTCACTTATCGCAACTCCAATTGGAGCCGTCGATTATCTCCAACTCTTCACCCCGGTTGATTGTCGTTCGCGGGGTAGATTGCTAACCGAGCAGGGGGTTTATCAACCGTTCAACGAGCCGTTTTCGGCAGCTGCGTCCTTACCTTGAACATGACATCACGGCCTTAGCAACAAGCCTCTGTCAGCGGCTGACCTACTACTAGTATATCTCTTATCTGAACTCGAGGAATACTAGTGGTGAGGTAGAGCTACAGTACCAAATGAACTCTTCGAATAGGCGCAACTACGCTATCAACGTAGGCGCAACCCTTCGATCATGCATCAGTACATGTGGAGATTCATCAACCCTAGCTTATCGCACGAGGCGCCCATGTCATACCGTCAGATCGTCGCTGCACTTACCATCCCGTGTAACGACTTTTGCCTATCACACCAATGGACTCTCCGTATCACGTCGTGCAATCGCCGCGGAAACGCCGTGGGCCCGCGACGGCGAACTACTCCTTGAGGATCACAGTGGTATCTCGACTTACCCTGCTCGGTAATTGGAGTAGGAGCCGTGGTCGGAGTCTTCACAACATATGTTAATATAACCGACTGACCTTCTCGCAAAGAATGGGTCTGAGAACTCTCAACTTTTGACGAGTCTGTTAGATCTCACCATGTCAGAGACAGCGAAGGTACC